AAAATATTTTATTAGGCTAATTTTTAAAATTATTTTTAATTTGATAGTTTCACACAATTCACCACTAGAGGACGCTGGAACTCCATTAAAATAAAATTGCCCAACTACGTAGAAACGTGTACGTGATTTCCAAAGTAACGTAGGGACGTTTTCGGCTCCAACCAATCATCTAGCTGGCGTTGGACATGTGACGTATTTTTGACGTACGGACCAAGCCGCGTTAATTCAGCTTGACGTTGACCGACGTCGTGGTGCAACAGGGATATCAGTTAGCTCACTACCAGCACAAGTTAGAAGTTTTTATGCCAGTTCCCTAAACGCCGTGTTTACCCGAGCGGAAAAGCAAAGAGCGACTACGGCTTATCTTTCTTCCCCTGTCCACCAAGTGACCTACTTAGCAAGACGTTATCCCGGGATAAATTAGCCAGATTTGCTAGCAGAAGTAGGTCACTGAGCTGCTGGTTCGGCCTAGATTCGCTTTCGAGGAAAACTTCGCTGTTTTGCGGACCATGGTTGTTCTGAAAAACATCCATCCTCCCACTGAAGGGGTGCGACATGAGCAAGCCGACACCACGGCGGTGCTGGACGGCCAGAGGCTGGGCTGCGGCACGCTCTACGTCGCTGAAACGTGAGTGATGCACGTGGCGCTTGTTTTCATCCGGATGCTGCAGGTTGGGTTTTAACAAGCTATTCTATGGTGGGAAAGAGGTTCATATGATTGGATATGCTTTTATAAGCAACAAGCTTTAGGTAAACCTTACCAAACCTTACCTTCCTATTGATAGATGTCCTTAAAAAAAAAAAACAGTAACTGTGTATTTACAAATATCTGCACCAGGATAAAAACAAACAAACCTCAAAATGATCTTTATTCTTAAGTTACTGTCCTTGTGGCTAATGGTCTCTTATAGATTATAAAAACGTTCCTCCTGGATTAATGGCATCAGGATCTCTTCATCTGAATAATCCAGTTTCTTCCTGTCTCCAACTGTCTGAAGCAAGGCTGTAACTTTGTGATGAAAGGTGGTGGGGGCACTCTAAGGGAGGGGGGCTGATGGACCTACACTTTCATTAGGTTTTTGTATTTTCCATAAATGAGCTCAAACATATTTATTGAACGCTTTCCCAAAAACATCAATGTATATAGAAAAAATGATGAATAACAACGGATTCCGATGCCAAAATCGATAAATCATGCATCCCTAGCAGTACAATTTCAATTTCATACGCTGCATTTTAAATGTAGCATAATTTTTTGTAAACTTTCTGGTAAATTTGGAGATATATTTTATTGCATGTTGCATATCACAGTAAATTTGTTTGACCTTTAAATCTGCAGCTCTCCCTACTTCACTCTGAGCTCTGTTTAAAAATGATTTGTGAACCTATTTACTAATATGATGATGCCAGAAACTAAATTTCAATATGTGTAGAAGCTCTGCAGTCTGATTCTGTCTGCACTATAAGAAAACATGGGTTCATTTTAACCTGTAATTGACTCAAAATGCTCTGAACACAGATGGCTGCACCGAACTCTGTTACCTTTGGCTAAAGTACATAAGCAGAAAAGGGGGCGGGAAAGTGGAAATTATTGGTGGGGACATGTCCACACCAGTCCTTCAGAAAGTTACGCTTGTGGTCTGAAGGTGGATTCTCACAAAACAGTAACTTTGCCTCAGCTCCTGCTTCCTGCAGAAAGCTGTTCTGTCAGGTTTCTAATTGAGAATTCTTGGAGATGTTTTGCTTATGTGCTAAACTTCTTGATACCAGGCCAAAAGGCTCTGGTTTAGAGCTTCCACTTCCTCTGGTAGATGAGGAGAGCCCACCTGCCCCCACCCATCCTCACCACCTTCTACAGAAGCACCATAGAGAGCGTTCTGACCAGCTGTTTCACTGTGTGGTGTGGAGGCTGCAGTGTCTCAGACTGGAAGAAGGTGAGAAGAACAGCATAGAGGATCATCGGGGCTCCTCTTCCCTCCTTAAATGACATTTCATCCCAGCACTGCATGTCCCGAGCCCATAACATCATAAATGACCCCGCACACCCCCACCATGGACTGTTCTCCCTGCTGCCCTCTGGGAAGAGGCTTTGCAGCATTGGATGCAGGTCCAACAGATTCTGCAACAGTTTCTTCCCCTTAGACAGTTAAACTGTGTGTGGGGGGGAAACATCTCTAAATCATGTCACAGACTGCATCACACTGATAACACCAAACCAAAAATACTGCATATTTGCACCAAATATATATTAATGCTCTGAACTTCCATATCAGTGCTTTTTTTGCACAATGGTTTTTCTCCCGCACATTTACATTTGATTACTGCTGCATTTTATGGTAAGGAAATGTTCATTTACTTCCTGAAAAGTAGATAAGGAAATTTCATTTTGGATATACTCTGTATACAAAATGACTTCAAAAGTTGTCTAAATTTAGTCTTCTCACTGATACACTCACAGCTGCTAGATGCCATTTTATAGGAAGCTCCAAAATGTTTTTGATCCTACCAGAACATATCTCCCCTTTAGGTTCTGTATGTGTCCCTAAATGAGCTGCTATCCTGAACCAGTGGCTCTTTGCCAGGCCTCTAAGGATCGGAGAATTCAGATCAGTTTGGCAGGGATTAGGGTTGCATCTAACAACTCAATTTAATCGATTCATCTTTTGATTATTGTTTCTATTAGTAATCTGATGAAGATTATTTTATGCAGAATTTAAACCAGGGGAAGCTTAAAATGCTACTTCAGGGTTTCTGGATAGAACGTATTTTCCAGCGGAAAAGATTTTCTGTCTTTAGTGTTAACATTTTTATGTAACTTTTAGTACAATTTTGGCATAATTACTCTGAGTGGGATCCTCTTTAACCTAATGGCATGTTGTAGAGTCTGTTTACTCTTATTAACATTGCTAAATTAGTTGACCATTTTATAAATAATTAATCCAATTATGTTTCAGCACCTGTAGGGATACATCTAGTAGGGATACCGCTGCACAAAATTGCCATTAGCTTTTCATAAAAGGGCGAGTTTTAAGGTAGCAAGAATTATACTTCCTGTTTTCTGCTGAAAGCATCCATCCCTCTCATTCTCTTACAGCCTAGTCCATTGGCTGGACCCAGCATGTGGGAAAACCTTCTTGCAACGTTTTGGCTTCTAATTCATTTTCAAACTGTTCTTGTGTTCTACAAAAATTTTGAGTTTTATTAATTAACATTTTCCTCACTAGACTGTTTCAAATTGTTTGCTTATGGTATGACGCATTCAATGTTTAGGGGGAAAAAAGGATTTCTGAATCCTTGACTGGTTAAGGCTGATTATGCAGAAAATTAGATGTTTTGTTTTGTTTGTTTTTTTGTTTCCTTTTTAGGGACTTTCTTCATAGGACATAATTGCGTTGAGTAATAGTGCTCTTAGCGAAAGAGGGAAACAGATTTAAATACCGTAAACGTTTACATAAACTGAAAGAGCTTCCTCCAAAAGCAAATCTGATCTTTCTTTCAACAGTGTAAATAGCCGGACATGCATGTTAGTTTTTCTTAGCGTTCCTCCAAATTTCAGGAGTCCTGCACCTCTAAGTCGTGGGTTTTTGTTTCTCTCAGGCGTTTGTCGTGGTTTGATGGATCGGGGTTGGGTTTCTCCCTGGAGTATCCCTCCATAGGCCTGCATGCCATCTCCAGGGATGTGAGTGCGTACCCCCAGGAACACCTGTATGTCATGGTGAACGGAAAGCTCAACGGTAAGACAGGAATCCTGTGTTCAATTTGATTAAGCAGTAAAGATCAACAGTCTGTTACAGTGTTCTGTTTGTAACTCCTCTTTTTATGGGAAGCTTCAGCTCTGCTCTCTCTGTTCATAATGCTCCATAGCTGGTCTTTTAGCAGAGAGCTGTTTCTGTAGCCTGCTATGAAACGCATCAATGGCTTGATGTTTTTTTGCAGAAGAGAATGAGGCAGAAATGGCTGAGAAAGCAGCTGGAGACGAGGAGGAGGATGACGGTGGCAGCAGCAGCGGAGGGGAAGATGACGATGATGAAGGGGTGATCTCAGAGATTCGGTTTGTGCCGACCGACAAGACGTCATGTGAGTGACCACTTGTTAGCTGGTCTGAAACATACAGGTGTGTGGTAAAGCAGAGAAACAGACGCCTCAGAGAAGCAGCTGTTTCTGTCCCCCAGTCTGAGGAAGGATAAGGGGCCGTTTGCCGTCTACAGTTAGAAAATCATGCTACTGATTTTTGCCGCTGTGGACGTTTTTATGTTCCGACTGCAGTTATCAGAGACATTTTTAGAAAATCCAGAAAGCTGGAATGTCGAACTTTACAGACCCCCTCCGCCTAAATCAGTTAGCAGAAAAAGACTGAGCAAGTGTGGGTAGTTTAGGAGAAGATGACTTTATAACAAATATTCAGTTCAAAAATAATTTATTAAGCCGACAATAAAGTTAAACGGATATATTCGGGTTATTTCACTCATATTGGCATCATCCCGTAAATGCATATGTTCCCCGATTAATGTACTCAGCAGCCATGAGTCTAAGAGACGAGCATTTGTTGCCCCTCCCTCCTTTAGCTGCTTATTGGTCATGTTTGCCAATGTTTATTTATTTATTTATTTTTTTTGTGTAACTTCTCTCATCTTTTTGTCATTCTTTTTATGTAAATTGAGGAAAAGGTAATATGGATAAGATCTGGTCCTACAAAAATCTGCAGCACATACAGGGGATCAGTTAGCCTGATGTCAAAATAATCGTTATTGGCCTTAAAGAAATGTATTGGCTGGTTCAAATCAAAAATACTCTATTAATCCCAAAGGGAAATAAATGTTGCAGTAACTCAGGAGCACTTATTCAATCAGGATGTTGTAAACAGAGATGCACGGATCCGATGCTTGGATTGGATATCGGCTCAGATTTTGACTAATTAGCCAGATCAGATATTGGTGATTTGATATTGGAGATACACTGCAATGCTTTTAACATGGAACCGTTATTTCTTTCTTTTTGCTGCTTATTTGTTAATAATATAAAGTACATTTATATCTTTTTTTTCATTTGTTACATATTTTTAATGATGTTTATGTTGAGGCTAGAATATATGGCGTGATTATATGGGTAATTCAGTCAACAGGTGAATCAGATCAGCCCAGGTATCGGATAGGAAACAATTGGATCGGTGCATCTCAGGTTATAGATGCTGATGGCTACAGGCAGGGAGGATCTTTTGTAGAGGCCTGTCTTGCATCAGATCTGGAGAAGCCTCTGACTGAAGCGACTCTGCATTTAGTATGGAGTTTGAAAGATAAAATATGTTGGTTAAACTCAAAGTTGGATCCCTTTAAAAGCAAAACTTAAAGAAAGCTGGCTAAATGGACCAAATTCAATGAATTAATTTTTAAAGTAAAATTCTCTTTTGTTACTGAGAATAGACTCAGTAAATACTTTTAACCAACAAAACAGAAACTTTTGACCCAAATGGTTTTGAAGCTCTATGCTTTCCTTTTTTAATGGCAAAAATTAGGTAAAAGGACGATATAAATACGCCAGGCAAAGAAAAAAAACAGATGTGACAAAAAGCAAGAAGATCATCCATAATATGTACAGCATTTAAATAAAACTGCTACAGGATGTCATTTTATGAAGCGATACAAAGTTTATTTGTGCTTTTTTTTTTCTCAGCTGATTTTGAAACATTTTTCTATATAAGTAAATAGCAGTATGTGGGGGCTGTGGTTGCGCTGCCACACATAAAGCATCAGGTTTCTCTGTATTTGCTTTTACATGCAGTGGAGTCCATGTTCTCAGCCATGTGTGAATGCCAGGCCCTTCATCCCGACCCCGATGACTCTGACTCTGACAACGACTTTGAGGGAGAGGAATACGATGTGGAAGAAGCTGGTGAGGAGAAATCTATTGAGAGTTGATTTACAGAGCACAAAGCTGATGTCTTAAATGTGTTAGAAATCTCTACGTTTTCTACTTTCTCAATGTCTCTCAAAGTTAATTTTTCGCCACTCATTTTGGTTTTCATTTGAATGCTTTACGAACAGAACTGCCGATACTATGTGGAAAAAATTCTAGATTAGCAATAGATGAAACCATAAGTAATAAATGCTACTACAGCTTCCTCCTCATCAGTTTCTAAGCTGCTGCTTTTTCTTTGACGTTTTCTTCGACTTCCGCCTGTAAAACCTTCATGATATGATGTCACATTGAAGCTGCGGTCATTGCTTTCTTCTTGAGTGGCTAACTTTCAACATTATCTCAGTACCTGGGAGCAAGAATGAACAGATCCAGAACCTCTGAACTATCTAGAAAATAACTGATGGTTAAATAACATTTTCAGTGTTTTAGAAATTTAGTCATGTGTTTTTAATTTAAAATATGCAGAAGAGCTACTCTAAAGCTTCAAAGCTTATTTATTTATTGTTTCTAATGACTTGAACTGCTGTTTTCCTGTGTAATTCACTATAATTTGTGTTTCTAATAACTTCTCTTCCTTGTTTCTCTCCATTGACCTGCTGTCCAAACCTGACATTTGCAGAAGCAGGTGAGTTGTGCAAAACGCATCACTACAGCGACGACTATAAACCTGACAAATGACAGACACTACCTTCAAAAACTAGCTTTTATTCCAATCATCTCCTGTGGGAGGGGACAATGAAATTCAAGCTGTGAAAGATTTTTGCAAAACAATGTTATACAAGAAACAATGGAAATATATTAAACTAAAGGTGATGAACTGATGTCATTCTTAGCTATGGAAGCGAACAAACCGCTTCATCAATGAATCGTCCAGCCTTACATAAAGGCGTTGATGATGAGATGAATGGAAGCTTCAAGGGGAACAAGAGCATTGAGGTTAAGCTGCTCTACTACCAAAGGTTGCCTCCCAATCCAGTCGTCTTCCTTATACTCAACTCAGATGCTTTCACTCACACGTTGATGACGGTACTATCTGAGCATTTAGCTGAAATATTTCACTTTTAGTAATCAGTTGAAACTTGTGAAATCCTGGATTTAGTTTTAGTTTTTATAGTTTGATCAGCCCGTCAGAAGCTCACAAATCATCTCTTTTCTAATCTGCAAACTCTTGTCCTTTTTTAAGAGCTTTATTTTCTGACCAACAGCTCTGAAGTTCAGGCTGCAGGATGGTGAGAGAGAGAAAGTTGCTCTATTTGATCTCTTTGGGCTGTCAACTTCTCTCCACCATGGCTCATGTTTGGTCTGTAAACTTTGGCGGCCATGTAGAAATGTTCAAGTTAATGTAAGATATTTGAACATGCTCGTGCTAGTTTTGCTATGCGTGATAATCACTAATATATAGACGGTTTGAAATGTCAACTCTATTAAAAAAAAAAAAAAAATCAAAGACGTGGAAAACACATCAGACGTCCATCAATTCATGGATCTGGAGGGACTTCACGTGGAAATATCTGATTTTTCATCAGGCCTAAAGTCAAGAATAAATATAAGGGTACAAGCACGAGGTGTTGGCGGAATTGTAGATCAGTGAACGCCGACCACTCTCGCATGTTTTGGAACGGTCTTAAAATTGTTCAGTTTTGGAAAAATGTACATGAAACTGCAAAGAAGATTCTGGGATATGATATTCCTATGTGTGGTGTGGTACTATATCTTTGCAATTTGAACAATATCAAAGCAAGGGTAAAAGACAGGTATCTGATTATGATGTTAATAGCCACAAAAAAAGCAATTACGAGGAAATGGGGACAGGCAGACCCCCCTTGTCAAGAACAATGGAATGGAATAATAGAAGAAATAAACATGGAAAAACTGACACATCATCTAAGACTTCAACAAACTCAAATGAGAGAAAAATGGAGGAAATGGACAATATTCAGGACAAAAGACAGCGACAAACATAAAGAACTAGATAAACTAGACAGGACAAAGGTCAAATAGAGGAATAACTCTCAAGCGAAAGTTTTATTATATTAAGTGGAATGTGAAATGTTCATCTGCACAGTGTATGTAAAAAAAAAAAAAAAAAGTGAAAATGTCAAAAAGTTAAAAGATAAAAAAAATGTGAAAAAGTTAAGACAAAAAAAAAACAATCTAAAATTCCTATCAACTGCTCTCACACAGTGTGACGTCACCTCAGCTACATATATTATTCTTGAAGCTCAAATTATAGAGGCTGTTCATAGCTTTATTTAAAAAAACTAAAAATCAGAAATGCTCCTAAAAACTCTTGATTGGTTTATCAGGACCCAGAGATGAACCTCTTTCTCCATGTTTCTCCATTCACTCAGAGCACGGCCACGCCGACATCCCAACCTTCTACACGTGTGACGAGGGTTTGTCGGCGCTGACGCAGGAAGGCCAGGCCACGCTGGAGAGGCTGGAAGGGATGCTGGCCCAGTCCGTTGCTCAGCAGTACAACATGGCTGGAGTGAGAACCGAAGAAACTAAACCAGAGTTTGATGGTATGAGTGAAGCCGATGGCACCTTTTGCTGTTCCTGACAGGCTGCCTGCATAACTTTGGTGTGAAGAAATTAAATGGATCTGAAACCTGTTTTAATTTGCAACCGAATGTTAAAAATGTTCCATCGCATTTTTTATTGTTTCACGTTTCTAATCCTGTAGAAAGCAATAAATAAAAAAGGCTGCTATTTGCAAACTAACATTATCTGGCAGGGAGCGATTTTGCAGGACTTAAAAGGATTATTAAACCAGATAAATAATAAAATATGTTCTTTAAAGTTGACTTGGATCTAAATAAAGGGGGTTATTATGAATAAAACCATCCAGGTGGGAGAGAAACAGGACCCTAACCGGTTAAAACAAGAGTTTTAAATTGTGAGCAAACAGAAATAGATCAGCTAAAGGAAAGTAAGCATGACTAGAAATAAAAATAAATAAATAAAAATTTGCATAAAAGCAAGGTTCTGGTCAGCAGCATTAGGAATGTAAAAAGTATTTAAACAACTGAGTTAAGGATTTTATTGTTGTTGTTTTTTTTTTTCTATTATAAAGATGCATCATTATGATTTGTATAAAGCCAGAGTGACTAGCCATTGAATCCAGTAGATCTGTGTCATAACTTACATTTTTGTTGAAACTTCTAAATATTTGTCTGAGCAATTGTCAAATTTCAGTCTTTAATAGGAAACGTGCAGCAACTCCTCAATGTGTCAAAGGTTCGTCATGCTAGAATGAAATGTCTCAGTCAGGTTCTGCTAATGACCCGGTCTAAAAGCTGCAAGAATCCTCCAAGACTGAGTTTGAAACTCCTGCTCTTTGAGGATTGATTTCATATTTCTCCTTAGTATTGTTTGAAAATTAGTGGCCTGTCTTACTGTTAATGTGATGGATTAAAAATATGACAGTTGGAACATTTGATTAATTTTTAAATATAAAGGAAAATCTTTTTCTACTTTTGATATTTCTTGATGATAAAGCAAAATTCTACAATTTACAGATAAAGTTTAGGAAGTTCTTTACTAATAAATTAAAAGCTCTTCTTCAAGACTTTGCTCTTTTAAAACTTGTTGGACCAAATTTCTTTTAGATGGAATCTTGGCTTCATTTTTAATATTTATATAAAACAGGATGGTATATGAAGATGATTTAAATGTAATCTTACAGACGGGATGGAGGTGGATGCTGCAGCGATGGAGGCCGGCCAGTTTGAAGACGCGGACGTTGAACACTAGTAAGGACAGACCTTTGAATTAGTAGATTTATTTAGACAATTTAGTATTTGATTTTAGTATTTGTGATATATATTTATTCAGATTCCAGTTTGTTTAAAATAATTTTGTGCTAAACTTATACTTTAAACTGATTATTAAAAATCCTGCTGATTTTATTTTGTTTGGAAAATCTAAATCCAAACAAATGTTACAGGCCTTCTCATGCACATGTTTGGCTCCCCCTGCAGGAGGAAATCGTGTCTACATCCACACAAAGCACCAGTGGGATCAGAGAAGGAGACGGCAGCACTTATTTACGGCTTCCTGCTCTGACCCACACCCTCTTCCTGTTCTGGGAATTTTCTGTTCTCTCCTCTTGTGCTGAACCTCTTCCTAGTCTCCCCATATTTCTTGCGCTAAAGCTCACGTGTTGCAGTAGGACGATGTTTTTTTCATGGTCAAATCTTGAAGATGCAGCGAGCTACCGATGAACTGGAAGGCTGCTGGAACATAAACAAACCCTGTTGACTTTATTAAAACATTTTGGGTTGTACATAATTTAACTGTTTCCCCTCCTTTGTCTTTGTAAGAAATGATCAATAAAATAATTTTGTAACTTTTACATTGTTTCTTTTTTCTCATATGATTTATTTGTAAATAAAAACAATCTCGTTCCTTCAGCATGATGCTGAAGTTGGGCATTAATATCAGCATCTACAGTACAGACCAAAGGTTTGGACTCGTCTTCTCATTCAAAGAGTTTTCTTGAAAGAAAATTGTAGATTCACACTGCAGGCATCAAGACTATGAATTAACACGTGGAATTATATAGTTAACAAAAAAGTGTGAAAAAACTGAAAATATGTCTCATATTCTAGGTTTTTTAAAGTAGCGACCTTTTTCTTTAATTACTGCTTCGCACAATCTTGGCATTCTCTTGATGAGCTTCCAGAGGCAGTCACCTGAAATGGTCTTCAAACAGTCTTGGAGTTCCAGAGTTGCTTTGCACTTGTTAGTCCTTTTGCCTTCATTCTGTGGTCCAGTTCACCCCAAACCTTCTGGATTGGGTTCAGGTCCGGTGATTGTGGAGGCCAAGTCATCAGGCGCAGCACCCTATCACTCTCCTCCTTGGTCAATTAGCCCTTACACAGCCTGGAGTTATGTTTGGGGTCATTGTCCTGTTAAAAAAGAAATGCTGGTCCAACTAAACGCAAACCGATAGAATAGCATGCCTCTGCAAGATGCTGTGGTAGTCATTTTTGTTTAGTTTGCCTTCAATTTTGAATAAATCCCCGACAGTGTCACCAGCAAAGCACCATCACACCACCTCCTCCATGCTTCACGGTGGAAACCAGGCATGTAGAGTCTATCTGTTCACCTTTTAAAGACACGATGGTTAGAACCAAAGATCTCAAAGTTGGACTCATCAGACCAAAGCACAGATTTCCAATGGTCTAATGTCCATTCCTTTGTTTTTTTAGCCCAAGTAAGTATCTTCTGCTTGTTGCCTGTCCTTAGAAGTTGTTTCCTAGCAGATATTTTATCATTAAGTGTGGCATTGACCTGGTCTCTAATCTGAACTGCTGTTAACCTGCGATTTCTGAGGATGGTGACTCGAATTAAGTTATCCTCCGCAGCAGAGGTGACTCTTGGTCTTCCTTTCCTGGGGTGATCCTCATGTTCGCCAGCTTCTTTGTAGCCCTTAATGGTTTTTGGTACTGCACTTGGGGACACTTTCAAAGTTTTGCCAATTTTTCTTACTGACCATTTCTTAAATGATGGCCGCTCGTTTTTCTTTACTTAACTGCTATTTTTTTCTTGCCATAATAAAAATTCTAACAGTCTATTCAGCAGGACTATCAGCTGTGTATCCATCTGACTTCTGCAAAACACAGCTGATGGTCCCAACCCCATTTATAAAGCAAGAAATCACACTTATTAAACCTGACAGTAGACAGCTGTGAAGTGAAAACCATTTCAGCTATCCAAATTTTTGGTCTGTACTGTATGTTGCCTAATAAATTTTTTTCTTAAGTTTGATATAAATTATTTAGTTGACAAATGTTGTTGATCTTTTTCTCTATATGAACATTGACTTATTTGATTTGCTAAAACCCTGATTTAGTTGTAATAGTTTGCCGTCGCGTCATACAAACTATAGGTCTTCCTGCTGCTTCTCTTCATTAATTCTCTGCATTGTTTTCTAAGCTAGTCCTCTTGAGTCCTATAAAAACAGCTGGATATATAGTAGATATGGATTATCTGCTAATTACACTGAAAAAAAAAACAGCACTCTGCTGAATAAATTGATTAATTTTATCAGTCAAGTTTATCTTATTTCACTAGCTATGAAAAACCAAGATAAAACAGGTAAAGTTGGGATCAAACCCATGATCAAGGCTGCATTGTTTTAAATTCGGCCACCATCTTGGTTTCCCTTCTAGATTTTTCAACAGGCTAAATACCACACTGCTCTCTAACCACTAGCACTTAACTATTAAGTCTTAATTGCAATAAAGTCACACTTGCAGCCGTGGAAGGCACCTTGATTAAAGGTGGGGGGTATAAACAAGAAGGGCGCGTCCTCTTCCCTCCAATGGAAAAAGAAGGCAGTGTGTCTTTGTGTGTCTAGCCATGTCTCGCAGAGGGACATAAAATATAACATTTGCCCCGACTTAAAACAAATATATATATTCAAATAAAACTATTTCAAAGAGTAACTTCGATTTTTGGGATTAATTACGTCTTCTTATACCTATCTTGTGATTTTTCGTCAGTGTGACCAAGATGCAATAGATTTTTAGATGCAGATGCATGCGTTTCCTCTGCCATCAAACCGCTGTTACACCTGCTGCCAGCGAACCTGCCCTTAATGCAGACTATTTGGACTGATCAGTCCACTCGCCCTCTCCACTAAGTGGTTTGGGATGGCACTTAATGTGGCTGACCCTCTGCGGAAACGCACATACTGAAGGTTAGTGCTTAGGGCCTGGTTTGGGATTAGGCCTTAGTAACACTGCAAACCCAGAACTGCATGAATAGTCCAAATTGTACTTGCTGTTTAGAACAGATAAAACATATTATGTTAAAACATACCATAAAAGTATCGCAATATTTCATTAGATGATATTGATTAGAAATGTGCCTGAATGGATTGTAAATATTTAAAGATATTTATAGTCAAACATGTTTAATTTTCTTTTATATAACACTTAAACCTCCAACCGGCAGTGCAGCACCCAAGAGCAACAGCAAATCCTTTGTCATGGTAAAATCGCAATATATTCACTGAAAAAAAAAAAAGCAACCACTTTTAGCATTTACTTAATCAGATTTAGTTACTTTAATACAACTGCTTCATGTTAGAAGGGTAGGACATAAAACAGTGTGTATTTTCTGTTAATATATCGAGATACTCATTGTATAGGTAAATCACTGCAATTCATGCTCCTGATAATTATGAGGTCCATATAAGGAGCTTATTTTAAACATTGCACTGTTTTGTTTATTGCAAGGTTCTCTCATTCTTATAGGTTCAGCCCAGTAATTACTTCTTGGCACATGGGCACTATCGCGATAGTCAAAATCATTGGGTAGATTTGAATATGTTGCTACTTTTAACTAAAATGTAAGATATACAGCTTATGAACTATTAATGGATGGTATTTAACATCCATCAAAATAAGTTCTTAGAGTGTAGGTGAAAGATTTTGATTGCACTGGGTATCTTAAAGGGCACAGAGTGCGACAGGCTTAAATGCCAAATTTCCCACAACTTTTAAATTATCTGCTAAGTTATTTTAACGATCAGATAAAATATTTAGATGTTTTTGGCAGCAAAATAAAATAAAAAACAGAGCTTTAAAAGTTTTTGCTATGATTCCAGGGTGGCACTGTGGCCAGAGCTTATCAGGGGGCATTTTAAAGAGGCCTTCATGGCGGGGAAATGTTAGTCAATCCAGGTTCTGTGCATCGTGAGAAAACAGCAGCTACGTTTACTATTGGGTTATGTAATTATTTCCAAGTGAAACAACAGTAAACAGAACAATTGAATCTGTTTTTATTTCACTGGAATCTGAAGGCACCAGTGAACATCTGTGCAAAAAGTAAAGGACATGTTGTGCTGAATGTTAAGTTGCAGTACATTTCTGTTTCAAAATAACACATTAAACAATAACACTTGTTACACTTCAATGTTTGGAAATCTGTTAGAAATATTTCACATAAAAAGATGTTTTTGTATATTATCCAAGAATTATTCTATCCACATATAAGTTGCATATATATATATATACCCTCAAGTGTAGTCTGTTGTTGAGTGGCTCTTTAACATAAAGGTTGGTGGTGTGACTCCACCAAATGGCTGGATTATATCATAATACTTTGGGGCTTGTTGGTTTAGTTAGAGCCAAACTCTTCTGTCCTTGGAAGGCTGCAGGTTTCCTGGTTGGAATCCTACAGAATGCTATTCTGGATTCCTAAGGAATGCTCTTTTTTGGCATAAGACTTTTCCTTGTGTTGTAGTTGAAGTTGTTTAGAAAATTAGATAAATGTTTAAACTGCCTCAGGTGTTAAAGATTATTTCTTCTTATAAAGTCAGAAAACTTCCTTAGAGAAATAATCTTATAGTATTAAGAAGTTACCTCTCCTGAATTTTAAACAAAGCCATCTATAGATAGATTACTTAAAGATTAAATTACATTTCTTTTTTAGTTGTGCTTCTGATCCAAATTCTATTAAGTCTCTCAGCACTAATAGTTTTTTTTTTTCAGGCAAAGCAGCTTAGTAGTAACTCTATTTGTTAGGATTTCCATCTAATAGGCTCTGGGGTCAGCATGCCGGCCCCCTGTATGCTCATGTCTGCTTCTTGGCCCGCAGCGGGAGGTGAAGAGACGGAGACTTGGGTGAAAATGCAGGCTTGAGTTTATCTGAGAGAAGCACTGAGCTCATCATACCTGAAATGACAAGAGAATTATGAGAAATTATTTTAAAACAATTTCAGAAGAAAAATCAGTTCAAAAGTTGCAAGATGGTGATCTTATAATTTTATGAATATGTATATTAATTTAACTAATCAGCATGTGGCAAACTTTATATCCTGTTTTTTAAGCTTCTAATAGTGCGCCGTCTGTATTTATAAAATGAGAAGCACTTAACCTGAGGAAGAGTTTAACAGAAATATGGGAAACTGACAAGAGAAACTATAGTCAGTAACATCTAAGGTGTATCCTTCTCAAATCAACACCTTTGTTTATAGATGTTCAAGATCTGCCTGTTTTTCAGTGTAGTCCTGTTTCTCTGACTGTGACTGGCTGGATATGCTCCCTTCATCCTCTGACATGGAAGCTGGCTCAGAGCTCATCTGCCTGGCTGTGTGTTTCCTGGACGGGGCCGCCAGTGGATCTGGTTTACATTTAACTTTTTTTTTTATATATCTGCTTCTGTCTCCTTGAACCCCAGTCGGCCTCGGCAGATGACCGCTCACAATCAGTCTGGTTCTGCTGCATGGTCTTTCGTGTCAAAGGGGAGTTTTTCCTCTCCACTGTCGCTACAAGCATGCTTAGTGTGAGGGATTACCTTAGAGTCAATGAGTCACTGCAATCAACTGGTTTT